TGTGTTACTAAATACTCGTTTGTATATCACGTTCAGTCGCGGAAGGATTACGCATTATTTGTACACATACAAGACAGCTGCGTGTGCATGCGTTGACGTATATACGTATGCATCATCGGTCGGCGTCAGCGCATTGTTCTACCTGTTAAATTAGGCTAATATATTGATTACAAACGCTTCATTGAATTTAACTTTCTCGGCGGCATTCGCTCGACATACCTCGGCGATTTCGATACAGAAAGACTGTGAAAGGCAAAATGCTGTTCGATCAGACTAATATCTGCTTAATCTGGTGAAGATGCTTCACATCGTTTTTACATTACACAATACTGCCTTGTTATCACGCAGTGTGACTAAACGCGGCGAATCGCGAAATAATAAGTGGAATAATACGGAAAATATAATGGCTCTGAACGATTTTCAACCATCCGGCTCGTAATTATATTCGTATCATAATGCCCAACGTTTTCGCATACAACGTAGAACAGGCGCAGAACACGCGATAGATCCCACACGTTTTCCTACGAAATTAATTTTCATATTCGCGTTTTCATCCTGATTAATTTAATTCCGCCGTATCTGCACGTGCAATCGCAAATTAAATATAGCAATCCTATTTATGTGCAACTCATTCTACGTATAATGAGATTAGATCGTCTCAACGCCTTTTCAATTGAAATGGGCGAAACTAATTCGCTGAGAATAGAGTACTTAGGCCGTCTCAAAATAATCTCTAACAAAAATCTAACGCGAATGAAACCTAACTGAATAATCGCTTAGAACTTCTCTGTCACAATTAAGTATCACAGATTAATTGGTAGTACAAGATTTTATACAAACACACGACGTCGATAATCCTATCGATGTATCGCTATCGACGCCAATATGCTCGTATTTCGCCCACTCCTAGACTTCATTGCACCTGCATCTATTCGTTGTACACTGACTGAGACGTGCGAGACAACACACGCACGTGGCCGGAGGGATACTATATATATTCATTATGGTTTAGAAAGTCCGCGAAACGATTAGCTCGTGAATGTTACAACTGTTTCACAACGAATTATCAGGTAAGGTGTGCCTGTGCGGATGTGTAGTCTTCATAGTTGAAGGACATAATAGGACTCTCGATGAAAAATCTTTGATTCATTATGCACCGATGGTTGATCTTACACTCGATCATGCCTGGAGGAAAATAACTGTCGTTATTAGCACTCCTGCAAGAAATATGTAAAACTAACTGTAAACTTCGTAACCGTTACGCGAGATTTGTGTGCCGCCTACTATTTACTAATGCGTATGTATTTAAAATATCAAGCCTTGATTATCGAGACATATTGACAAATGAGATTAACGTTTTCTTTCCATAAATCATGTTATGATGTTATATATATGTGAAAGCCTTTTCCATTTTGTGTCTAAATTTAATTTTGAATTTCTAGCTTGTTGTATATATAATTTAAATTACCATGTTATTAAAAAAAATTTAATCTTCAGTAATTTTCATAATCTCTTTATATAACACCTTTTAATTTAATTAAAAATTTATTTCTATGAATAGTCCAACGTACTTATGTATGATCTGTAAAAAGATAATAATAATAATAACCATAAAAATGCACCTATTATATTCTACCATATTTGTGTAATAACGATTAAAAAATCCCTGTCAACAAAATGTATTAAATATGATGATTCGATGTGACTTATTTACAAGATGAACAGTGTTTTCAATGCACAATAAAATTATATCATTACTTAACAAAAATAATTAATTGCATATATTGCTGTATTAAAAAGCATATAAAATTAATATCGTTATACATTATTTAATCTAAAAAATCTAGCGTTATATAATTTATTAAAATTCGATCTCTGCAATTGTAAATTGGTAGTTAAGAATTATTTGCATTATTTCTGGATTTTAAGTGCAAAGAATGAATTTCGAATAACATTCGTTTATTTCAATAATTGCATGAACATAGTTTTGAATTTCGGCGAATTTACACAGCATGTCAAATAAACCGGAAAACAATGTTATCTCTGCTTCTTAACTACGATGTCTTTAACCATACACAGCGCAATTTTATGTCGCACTTGGCGGTCATAAATGTCTTAACAATCTTCCGTCAACTCCCTCGCACCTTTTGAACACATCACCGTGTAAAAGATTTCGTTACATATTTTCCGTAATTCCGTAATTTTCCTGAAGTATATGAACGAAAAGAGGAGAGATAAAGAAAAGACTACTCAAACTATAGATATGTCGAGAAGAAACTAATTCATTTTTTTTTTATCGATAAATTAGAGCCCTGTATCGGTCGAAGATAGATCTTAAATGCTTAAATAATTCAATCTTGAATCACTAAATATGATATATATGTACTTGACATATATACCACACTTGTAGTCTAACATTAATTCATTTTACTTTTGTGAACGTTGCATATCGACTAAAAATCTTTACATTTTGAAGCAATACTCGTTTAAAAACAGGAAGACCAACATACATACGCATGTGTGATTATATACACGATTTCTGACATATTGTGAAAGATCACCGTGTTTTATATATTAAGCGATCATTAGATATTCTCGTAACTTTATTCTGTCTCGTTACATTACCACGCATCATAGAGCACGTCTCCCCTGTGGCTACTGAAATATTTCATTATTCTTATCGCGAGTTTAATTAGTCATTATCCAGTCGCCTCGTCGCTCAATATTACGCAGACATAGCCGTGTGATATTAATAGAAGTAATTTGTTACAGAATGTTTGGTCTTTCTTTTAATTAGTATACACAAGTAAATACTATATATTTTTTTTTATCGCGAGATAATTATAAATATATAAAGTGACAATTTCCATTTAATGGAAATTGTTTATGTGAAAAATGCAATATTATGTTTTATTTGTAATTACGAAGTCGTTAGTTTAATATTTTCTCTTGAAGTGCATTGCAAAAAATAATAATAAAGTAGACAGTCCTTTCACGTTTGTAACGTCGAGTTTTGAATTTTTGAATATTGAAATTCTTCAATTTTCATATTTCAATCCTATCGGAAAAATTTTCGCTTAGCAAATACGAAATTACTGTTAAGAAGAGCATCATAATACGAGCATCATAATCACGAGCAACAAATGAAAAGTTCAGTGCGCCTGTTACTGTAACACTTTTATTGAAATCCTTGCTGGTACGTTTCTGTACAATGTGTCGTAAGCGTCATACGTAAGCGTTATCATACATTTCTTTAGAAAGGATCACGAGAGCTTTTTCTTCTATCGTATCCGAATAAAATCGCTGGCAAATCAAAGTTCAAATCTTATAACGATATGCAAAAGTGAAATTAGTTAGGTAACAACACTTTCTGTAATTCATCTTCAGTATAGAATTTATAGTGTAATTATAGATCTGTCATAATCGATTTTAGATACAATTATAACATAATGAAATATCTAATCAGACGCATCAACATATTTCTTTGAATATCTTATAATATAACATGTATTAGTCATATATTTTGATCTAACACATACCGAATATGCAACCGAACGATCATCTACAAGTCACGTGCAACTCTCTATAGATATACCTATACGCGATACTAAAGTGAAAGCATTTACATTTATGAATATATATTATAACGCGAAACCATTAGTTATCTTCTTTTCCACTAGATGTATTAAGATTTTCATTAAATCAAAATTTCATGATTGATAAAATATCTCAAAGAAATTAAATCATTTTTTTTCAAATTTGCAGATATATTTTTTTACACAGAATACTATATTAGTCTTAAAAAATATATGCATATACATATCTTTATTTTAATTATAAAATTAATATTCTTAATGTGTTTAATTTATGATTATTATAAATATAACAATGTAAACAATGCAATAATCCTCTTATAGAATCTTGAGGACGTAATGGTCCTATGCATCATGGAGTTAAAAGCAATACGATCTAAATTATGCGATTCGATATAAACGATGCACTATCGTAAACGAAGAAGGTTTATCTATTCATTATCAAAAGTCTACTCCGAAATCGCGCAGAATAAGCGCAAAAGTTATATTAGTATTCCTTAGTATCAAATGTGTGCTATATCTTGAAGCAACCGTAGCTCCACATCACTGAAACGAAGCGCGTCCAAGTATCGCGACTGCTTGTAGCAATCGGACGTGCATATAAACCGTCCAAGATATAAAACTACGTACGAATTTTTTACTGCAGATCGATCAGATCTTTTTAATTCTATAATGCACGATATTTTTCAGAAGATATTATTTTCACGCTTGTAAGAAATAAAATGTAAAATAAATGATCACAAAAGTGTGACATGTATTATCTTTTAAATCCATCTGTCACTAACGTCAATAATTATTACTTACGAATAAGAAGTCACAAAAAGTTACAAAGGTTACTCATATATACGTAATTTAATTTTCTTACTCCTTTTTATATTGTCGCGACATATAAAACGATACAAATGTTTTATTTGCTGCTTTTATATTTCTTTGACAAATTAAAAAAGCTATACATCGCACCAAGTGACACGTGATAGATAGCTTATTATATAAAAGTATTTTACATACATAAAAATATTTTTGTATTTGTATTGAGATTTGTGAATATTTAAATTCGTAATTTTCCATTGTGACTCAAACAAAATGAAATAATTTTCATTATCGTCACGTTGCGTGGTTCGGTTCCAGCGAAACGTTTCAATAACCTGATTTTGCACATTCATATCAACCGTCTAATAATGGATATGCGTTATCCGTATTCTCGTTCCCTATCGCGGTGATTCGACCCCCACTTTGGCGTCTTTACTTTCTAAACGCAAGACAGAATTACCTTTCGTCCGATTAAAACTCATTGGTAGCGATCGCTCGCGTGCCGCGTAATGGTGCATACGAAAAGTTCACCACAATTGGCGAAAAACCACCCCCTTCATGAACAACCCCGTGAATCATCTTCGTCACAATACTCACGTCTTAGCAGATCGATCGTTCGAATCAGCGACGATCTCGCGTTCCCCTTCGTCTCGGTGAACAGAGAGACAGGTGGTTGGTTCTCGCGAGGGGTTGCTCTATCGACGCAGCAGAGGGTAGAAAACCCTACGTTGACAGCCGTGGCTAGCCCCGTTCTCGTAACGTTGGACGAATGAATTGTTTCGCGAATCGATCCGATTTGATCTTCGGTCGAACCGAATTCTCGAGGTACTTCAATAGTGGCGTGTATCGAAGATTGCGAATCGTGCGAAGAACGTGTTCGCGAACGCGTTGTGGGACGAAAAATTCTGGAAAACGCGTCCGAACAGTTCGAGGGTTCGGAGACAACTGAACCTGCCTGACTGTCGACAGACTTTGGAATCGGTGAGTGGTTCGCCGTTCGGTTCTTGGTTCGCCGATTCTCGGCTCCGCGGGTTCGTATACGCGCGAGTCGCGGCCGCCGTTTTCTCTCTGTACATGCGGCGCACGGTGCACCTTCGTTTGCTCCTACCCAACCTCCCTTTTCTTCTCCTCCTCTTCCACCACCTTTCCACCTCTTCAAAACCCTCTCTTTCTCTTTCTCGGTTTTGTCTTCTCTATGTGTTTCTTCTGTGTCATTGGCCGTGTCGTGTCGCCGTTAAGCGAACAGGTAGCCCCATGAGACACGTATGCACGTGCATGTAAATTTTGCATACGCACGACACAATCGACAAAATCGCAAGTCTCAAATCGTGTGAATGGACCCGATGTATTCTCCCATCTCTTCTCCCTTGCTGTTAGATATCAAAGGAGCAATGATAACCCAATCCTTAAGTTAAATAACATTTTGTTATTTTTTAACTCCCATGTCAAAATATAAATTAATCCATTTCTGTATTTAATTTCAAAGTAAAATACACACACATACATTTTCTTGAGTTAAATTGTTTAACTTCATTGCTTTAGTTAAATTAATGACATATATTGAGTGTAAGTAGTAATGATTAGAAATGATTAAAAATAACTCAAATAGCACGTTTGACATTATGGATTTAACAGTGTTTCTATTTATCTTTTGAATCTTTTTTTCATGATTCCATTAAATTTTATCAATTCTTCCCCATCAGATTTTAATATAAAATTATCTGAGAAATTATATAGGTACATATATAATCCAATCTATTCACACACACTTATATAAAATTTGTATTCACATAAAAATTATTTTCCATGTTGTGTAACTTTGTAATTAGTAATAATAATTAACAATAATAATTAACAATAATTTGTAATTAATAATTTTTCTCAACTGCAGTTTCGGAATCACCGTTTTCCTTAGTTTAATTCCAATATTCGAAGTCTTTGTGGTCATTCAGTAACAGATATATAAATAAAAAGCACAAACGTGCATGTCAATATTTTTCATATGCAATTGTAATGTAACATTTTAATGTTAAATGTACATGATATATTAATCCATTAAGGACCAAGACAAAAATTTAAAATCCTTTTAATGGTAAGCTACTATGCCCTTAAGGAGCCTACTTGCCAAAAATTTCGCATCCCAAAGTTGACCTATTTTTTTGGTCGAAAAATCGACCAGCGATCCTTAATGAATTAAGCACGTAAATAATTCACAATAATTCAGGATAAGACGATTGATGTAACACATAAATGCCTTATAGTTGCCTTCGGAAACGTCATTACACGAAGCATTAGGCGGAAAATAATAAGTGGTAAAATATGTAATTGAATATATGCTTACATCGGTCTGTTTGAATGTGAAGTTTAATGTCGTGAGAATTTAAAAAAAAAGGGAAAAGCTTTTCCATTAATTCTGATAATTAAACAACATACGTCACACTTTCATGAACAGAAAAACGAAAGTTTTACACCGGTAAAATAACCGTGTTTCACGTGTCACTGGGTCACTGTGTTTTTCCAGCGATGGAAAACTTTTTCCTTAGCATATAGATTACTTTCGACAAAACGACCAGCCGGCATGGTAACAAACATTGCTCAGATGCTAACGATAAATAATTAAAATAATCAAGCTGCATTATTAAAGTGTTGAGCCAATTTTAGCAAATTACGTACCTATATTATTACGTGTTGCGTGACTATAAACATAATAAAATATAACGATTAAGATGATATGATGTTTCAGCAATTAAAAATCATTCGAGACGATCTCGCAATAATACGTTTAAAACAAATTTTAGAAAATAGAACATATTTGAAAATGTATTGCCGTTAAAAATATTCGTACACGTTCGTGTAATTTTCTCACAATTTACACGAAGTACTCGTAACTCCGAAAGTATAATGAATATTTCATATAAACGTAATAGGTTTTATCATTAGGAACGAAATATCAAAAATTGCAATTGTGCGCGATTAATAACCATGATTCAGTCATTAATCGCGCATAAAAGTACGACAATAGTTAGTAGACATTGAGACGAAAAGACATACCAGTTTCTCGAAAAGGGAACGATAGGATGCCCAGTAAGGCAAGTTTCTACTGCTGACTCAAAAGAGAATTAAAGTTCACTGGATCCTTTGCACACGACAACACAATTCGTTTCTTAGTTAGCCATATATCGTCCGTGAAGAGAGGTTTTTCCCGTTATTGGCGATGCCGCGACGCGAATGCGCCTCAGAAATTGTATTCGCCGATCGCGAGTTGCATCGTCTGTCGCGGCCGCGCAAATACTCGGAGAATCCTGGTCGAGACAACACTTGAAGATTCGTTACCAGATGACGTCACGGAGAGACGATCTGAGGCATCAAGTAATTCTAATAGGCCATCGTTCCCCCTATTTTTGGATTCGTGAAAGCAAATTACGTTAAGATAGGACGAATGCGTGCATCAATTATCTTAATTAAATACATATACAATATATTGTGAAAAATAATACGCTGTTTGTGCGTGTGTGCGTGCGTGCATGTGTGTGTGTGAGTGTGATATTATTGTACATATACGAGCGTGAGGAATGCTTGTACGTGTCATTAAAGAATACTATTGTACATATATAAATATTTGTGAAATAAATATATTCTCCCCTTTTAATAATATTTTTTTTACACAATTACTAATTTTAATAAATAGTTAATTGATGATAAATTTTAATTAAAAAATATTTTTTTTTTATTGATAATTATATCAAGCAATCTAACTTCGGATGTGACGTTAATTCGCATTTTAATAGGATGTATTCGATAGTGGCTCGGTCGCATATCATTATTCATTATTTTCTGGTAGTTTCGTAACGTTTCCCTAAGCATAGTGATCTGCTGTCAGCCGTACGCGTTCATTATCTTTTGCTATAACGTAGTTATTATTCAATGACGTGACTCCCATGTAAGAATCGAGCTCCTTTTATTTCGGTCAGACAATTATATACGAAAGGTATTAATTTCACTCTATTTTCAATTGTTACAAAAGTTATTTTTGATATAGCGATGCCTAGCACGTGTCAAACACGCAGAATACGTCAGAAAGAAGGTGGAGACTAACTCTTCGCTGCACGTGAAACGCACGTGAAACGATCAAATGCCATCGGTTTTTTTCCATGAGGTGGTTCGACAATATAATCGATATTGATGTATTGTGCCTAAATGCAAGGTGAAAGAATCACTTATTTTACATGCTGGCTTCGTACGCATACACCACTTCTCCTTGGTCCTTTCTTTGTCTTTTTCTAGTTGTCACCGTGGCATCGTATCAAGAATCGCTACTGCTCTTTAAACGCTTGTAATTTTAATCGGCCTAAAGTAATCGCAAGCGTTTTAGCCTTATTACGAAGTCTTTCAGTTTCTATTTCTAAACCTAGGATCTTGTAAACTTGGAACAGCAAAATAAAATTAAAAATATCTTACGTTATAGCAACAAGCCAAGGGTATATAATTTTTTAATCACATAAAATTGTTATAAATTCCAATTTTATAACAATAAATCTTACAGTTAAAAGAATTACAATATAATACTGAAATGACACAATCGAATAATATACATTATATAATAATACACATCTTTTTATGGGTTATTCTAACATTCATTTAGCCGATTAGTTCTGCAATTCAATGCTTTAATTACAAATGGCAGTTATATCCTTTATGTTATCGCAATTGACGACTTTCACTAAACGAAGTTGAAACGGAATAAGATATTTGCGATTCTATTTATCGCGCGATCGAGCAAACAATACTTTCTCCACATTTTTCAAACCGATCGCTAAAAAAATATACATTTTTAGACTAATGTTTATCTATCTATGCTCACTTATCGCTGTACTAATTTAATTTTTAATTTCGTCATCGTGCATTATCGCAGTCCATTGTGAATAGCAGCCAGAGTGTGTCTTGTCACGTCAATGTCATAGCGCAAACAATCATAAAAAAATATTATTGTCGCCAGGTAAAGTTTCTGTTCAAATAAACTACTCTGTTTGAGAATTACTCCGGGTTTATCAGCAGCCAGTTATAAGTCAGTCCGAAGGAAGGACAAGGGCTTAGTGGCAATGAGCGAAATGGTATTCAAGAAATTTCGCATGAATAACATCATAATAATCTCCTGCTAGCTGAATCACGCATTGTGTGGTTGAGCGTACAACCAAATACGTATTTGTAGCTTAGTAATCGACTGTCCTTCGAAATGCAATTTTTAATCGGAAATTAATGATCCGAGGTCCGAAGATGGGATTGTAAAGATGGACACCTGAATATCCTTGACAAATTTTTGGCAAGCGCGCTCATCATTCGCATATTGTTCTGTGCGTCCGGTGCATTACCCGCGATTATCGATCACTATACAACTGCGTTGTACAACGGATGAGTCAGTTTCTCTCACTAGTATTGAGTTATAATAAAAAGAAATTTGCTTTTATTATTACCCAAATATACTGTTTTCTTATGAAAATATCTCGGATTTGGAGCTCTTAAAAAATTGGCTCTTAATAACAAAATTAATACATTTATATATAAATTTATACAAATTTATATATAAATTATTAAAGTTTACAGTATAATTGGAAATGTTTCAAATTTTTATAATTATTGATCATAAATTGATCATAAATAAATATATATAAATTAATTATAAATATAACAAAGACATGAAAATTTAAAGTACATGTAAGTTGAAATTGCAATGCATTTTTACACCAATTATTATTGTTTTCATACATTTATAATTGTAGAGAATAAATGTCTGTAAGAGCAATCAACATTCAAAATTATCGTAAAGCGAAAGAATCGGAGTATTCATATCGAGTGTATCATGGGTGATATTTCAATGATAAATCGTTTCTCGTTGCACATTCGATTTCGCCGTAATCTTTTTTACGACGGATTTGCCATTTGACGAGGTAACAAGACACTCCGTTTAGTGAGTTATCGAACAATAGCCGCGTGCCAACAATGAAAGACAACGAAAGTTATGCTCTACGTTCTCAATACGGCTGCAACCACGTG